TGAAGAAAAGAATCATTATTAGTTGCAAATACTTGTTATTATGAACCAAGTCCAGCCCAATGTGGATACCAGGGTCACAAAAGTAGTTATTGGGGTCATGAAAGTAGTTATTGGGCTTACAAGAGCTAGGGCCAAGAACAAGCAATAAGGTCAGGTTAATTTGGGATCCGGGTTGAGAAATGGGCGTGGGAATGGTTCCATCAAACAGGGTAGTGATATTTAATTTGGGAATTATGCAAATTGTTGAGAAAAGAGTTTGATTCTCTCATCTTTAATTGAGCTTTTCATCCCCTTCTATCTATCTCTATATTTTCCGATCTTCTTTCCTTCGGTTAACCTTTTCAGTTTCGTTTTAAGGACGTTAGTTGTTATTAGCTTGTTGTTTCCATTTCTCAATTGTATTTTGTGTTCTTCGGCCATTATAATACATATCATGATTGTGTTGGTAACTTGAGTTGCTACACTCTTCTTCTGATTATTAGTCTGCAATCTGCATTAGTAAATAATAAAATATCAATCTTATATATATATATATGAATCATTTTTATAACAAAAGATATTATCAACTCTACAACGTAAAATTTTACGCCCTTTTTTCCCTTGTATTTATAATAATATAGATTATACTATGTGAAGTTTTTTTAACTTTACACCCGTGAGTCTTGGCACGCTAAAGTTGCAAAAAACAACAAAAATTTCAAATCATATGGAAGTGTATGTGTACGTGTTGTTATTGATTCAAAAACGCCCTCATTGTTATTTTTGGGTTAAAAAGCTCTTTTTCTAATAAACATATTATTTCTTTTCTTTTTAACAAATATTTTTTCATAATAAAAATATTTTTAACCTAACATTAATTTTCATATATATAAGAGCACAGTAATCCATCATTAATTATTATTTAGATAACGATAAAAAAATTTTAGATAAAATAATAAATGTTCTTATTTCTTAATATTTTTCGAATTGAAGAAGGATAAACATTTATTAATATAATCCTTATTTTAAAATGAAGATACAATAATCAAAATGCATGCCATGAAACACGAAAATTTATCAAATGTTTCAAATCACAAAATTGATTTAAAATGTCATCGAAGGAGTTATTGTTAACCCTTCTATTCGAAGATAATAAAAGGTTCAAATGTGGGGTGGTGATGTTTGATGAATCTTTTCTTTGTTTTGAGTAATTTATCGCTTGATACTCCTTGTTTTCATTTAATAACATGATTTTGAGCTTATGAATGATGTCTTATACTTTGTCAATGGAAGTGTTGTTGTTACATGTTTGCCAAATCCATAACAATGTAATTAAATTGCCCTTGAACAATTGAACTTATGTGTAGTAATGCATAAGTAATTTAGAAATTGTAGTCATTTCTGGGTAAAACTTGTGGATATTATGATAGAAACATATAAACTTAATGGTCATAGAATCCTCTAACGGTCCAAATAAAAGAATGTCAATTTTATATGTATGTAGGACTTGGACCTACATGTCAGTTTTCCATAACGAGAAAAATACATTATAAGCTCAATTGTCATGCAAGATCCATGTTCAAAGATATTATAATCTCTAAAATTTTCTTTAATTTTAAAAAAAATTACAAAAATTCCCTCTTGTATACATTCCTATCCTCTCTCGAATACATTTCTCCCCTCTCAGATACATCTCTATCCCCTCTCGAATACATCCCTCCCATTAAGTAATGTATCATTCACAATCCGTGAGCTATGTATCCGCATGTTTCTTGATGTATCTGACATCCTATAAATTTAAGGGATTTTTGTAATTTGGAAAATAATAGGTATGGGATATAATTAGTTCTTAACACTATGAAATTTAAAAAAAGGGTCTTATTTTTATGGCCTAATACATGTACACTATTCTTTCAATTCGATCACAATCCAAAAATGTCGATGATTTATAAGAATGACTTTGAAATTTGTAATTGCTTTTAAACTTTTGACCTCTACTTGTCGATCCATTAGTAAACCTTAAAGGTCAAAAATCAAAAGTTCTATCTATGGGGTAAAACTCGTTAAACTTAAAGTTTTAACGATGAAGCAAACGGGTCAAAATTAAGTTCAAGACCAAGGAGGGATGTATGTCATTTGTTATATGTTCCAAACACATTAATGTTTTCTTTCTGAACAAATATATTTTTATGAAAAAATAAAATATCTCGTAGAAGTCTTTGTTAAGAATTTTTAAGTTACACTATGATTATTTAACGATCCTTTCATGCATTATGTTAGGTATAAAGGAAATTTAAATTTAACTTCAAAAGTGACATTCTTTGATTGAATAAATGAAAATTCTACCTTGTCAATGTTTGATAATGTCATTTTTCTATCTACTTTCACACATGAAGGATCCACATATATAAATCAATTATCCAACCATTTCAGTGACTTTATAGGTTATCTTTCCAGTGTGCGACTAAATCAATTAATGATACGTAATTAAATTTTGGAAAAATCATTTCTGACCAATAATGCAACTTTGTGGCTGAAAAGTAAAAAAATAATATTGAAGTAGTTTTGAAGATTCAATAATCTTATTGTTACTTCAGTCTGAATTAATTATAAGTTACTTCGATTGAATTTTTTTTACTAAATATATACAAATAATTAATTTCAAACACAATAAATTAAATTAAATTATGATAAGAAAATTATATCAATTCATAAAATTCAAATCATGAATCTGTCTCTGAAACGACCCCGAAGGTGAAAAGAGATGAGACTTTTTTCTTCACAATATTGGACTGATGTTAAGATGACATATGTCACATAAGAAACTTACATTGTTAATTGTTAGTTGTTGAGACTTCTAATCTCATTATTAATAATAATTATAAAACGTAACTGTTTCCACTTTGAAAATGAATTAATTATGAAGACTTTTAATTAATTCAGCTGATACGCTGCTATCAAGCATCATATTTTCCGTCTCAAATTAATTGTCATATTTTGGTGTAGACTTTAAAATTTTGTACGACTCTACAAGACGTGTTCAATTTTAGTTGAGACTCTTTAAGGTGTGTTCAATTCCAATTAGAATTCTTGGAGGCTATTCAACCCTAAACCCTAGAATTCTTGTACCAAATTTCCTTAAAAGGCATCTCAAAATATCCCATAAACTCTTGTAGAGTCCGCAAAATTTCAATGTTTACAAATGACCCATGCTTCAAGGCTTGTCGGACTGTAGACTCGATGAAACTCAAAGACAAGCCTGAAGTACTCATTCTTCCACCTTCGTAGCTTCAGATTTTCAGATTTGATTTAAGAGAGAAGAGATGAAGGGCAGATTTGGTCCCACTGGGCGTGTCATCTCGAATATTTTGCAAATTCATGAAATATTTATATAGAGGTCAAATCTAAATATGAAGTATTGAAAGCTACAACTATTCTCATACTATTTTGATTAAAATATTATTTTAAAATACTATTAAAGCTAAGATTAAATAGTTTAATTTTTAAAATGCGAAACATGATAACTAATATGAATCAGAAAGTGAGTACTTAATTAATTTCTCAGCCTTTTGTATAATTATATATCGAAAATACTAGATGCTATAATTGGTATCTGACTATTCATGTAATGATATGTTTAAGAGTATAAATTTTAAAAGTCTTATAATGATACGGTATATTTATAACTATATGTGTATTGATATGTTTAAGAGTACAAATTTTAAAAGTCTTATAGTGGTATGATATATTTATAATTACAAATTTAAAAATACTTTCTTTCCTTTTTAAGCTCCATGTTATTTTAAATTAAAATTATAAAAGTACTATATCTGCAATGTCCCACCTTCATTGCCTATTAGTTGAACTATAAAAAGTACTACTAATTAATGTACTATATTTGCTATGGAAAAAACTCTATTATGTGGGGGGAGAAGGAGGGGGGGGGGGGGGGGGGGGAGTGAAAATGAGTGCAATATATATTATCACTATCAATGTATATACATTATTTTTAATTGAACCAAAAACGTAATTTTAAAAAAACACTGTTTAATAAAAAACATAACGAATTAAAAAATTGACCTATATCAACTAGCTCAAACATATTTTTGGCATTGTCCCTTTTATCAAATATATTTTGATCACTTGTTCAAGATAAAATCCCAATTCCTAACCACCTCTTGGACCAATTCATAATAATACCTTGTTCTCACCAATCCTAATTAATTATATATTAAAACCACCCAACACTGAACCTTATAGATATGGATTAATTTTTAAAAACTAAAGAAATATTTACACTTGATATGTTGTTTGTTATTTATTATTTTGATATATTGTTATTTATTTTGATATGTTATTTGTTATTCATTTTTATCATCAATATACTTAAACTTGTAACTATAATACAATTATCTACTTTATTTGTCATGTTGTGACACTTTTTATGAATGATGATTATCCCACTCAATTACATGTATTAATTTGAAATAATCAGGATAAAATTACAATAGATATTTTCAATAAATTCAATAATTTTACTAAGACTTTATATTTATATTTTAAAAAAGCGTTAAATATGTATATATATTTAATTGTACAGCCATGCAACATTGAGAAGTAACTCATTTGGTGAGCTTCCTAGTTTTTATAGTTGAGATAAAGGGTTCAAACCTCATCAGTAATATAGTTTCTCTTTCTATTACCTCTCTTACCGGCCGCCCATAAAAAAATATTTTTATTTACATATTTATTATAAATTTAAAATTCATAAATTTCAGAGTCTGACTTCATTTCTGGATTTACAATAGGTGCATGTCTTGATTTTTGAATTATTAATTAGACTTTTTATGATTGGTTACTTGTAATCGTCTAAACTTTTAAATTATCGTATATATGATGATATAAAAATTCTTTTACTCTATAAATACAACTCTCTAACCCATCCATCACTCACTCTAAAGCAAACCTTTTACACTTCTCAATTTCTCCAACCACCCTCCCCCTCCCCCCGTAAAAAAATAAGAGATGAATCCCAAAAAAAACTTCAATGTGAAAGTGAACAAGAGTGAAGTAGTAGCAGCAGTGTTGCCAATACAAGAACATTGGCTACCATTATCTAATCTTGATTTACTCTTACCTCCATTGGAGGTCGGAGTAATGTTCTGCTATCTAAATCCCATTATTGTTTCGGAGAAAATTAATATAAATTTAGAATTTAATTCAATCGTAAAAATACTCAAAACATGTTTGGCTGAAACATTAGTTTCTTACTATGCATTTTCTGGAGAAATTGTTAAAAATTCAGCGGGAGAACCGGAGCTTCTTTGCAATAATGGTGGTGTTTCTTTTATTGAAGCTTTTGGTGATGTTGAGCTTAAAGAGATTAATTTTTATAATCCAGATGAAAGTATTGAGGGAAAATTTATTCCTAAAAAGAAGCATGGTGTTCTTGCTATTCAGGTAAAATATGTCCTTATTTATTCCATGCATGTGACAATTAAGATAACGACAACAACATATCCAGTAATCATTTTAGTCTTATTTATAAATAGCATCTGAAAAGGATGAGGTGTAATACGTAGAGTCGTAGACCTTAACCCTATTTGTGTGAGGTGCTAAAGAGGCTAGTAATCTCTGATACAATTCGGGTTATGGATTTGGCAAAACTAAGTAATTGATCATGACTTTGATTTAAATTTTGTATTTGTCTTGAAAAATCTATTTAATGTATAAATTATTGAGTTAGAATCTAGCAATTTAAAAGTACTAAAATCTTACATCTATAAACGTCAAATCATGAACTTACCACTTCATATAAGGGGTCTGATTCTTTTCAAGAGCCAAAGACGCAAAAAAAAATAAAAAATTATAATAAGTGATGATGAGATTCGAACTCATATAATTACTTTGTCTACTTTAATACCACTTAAAGTGTGTGACTATCTTCATCATCGAATAACATAAGCTAAGGTGTTACTCCCCCCGGTCACTTTCACTTGTCCAGTTTGGACTTTGTATACCCTAAGAAACAATAATCGACATTAATTCATATTAATTGGTGTTTAGCCATCGGTCTTGAGAAATGATTTGATGTTGAGAGTAAAATAGGAAGAAAATAAGTTTTTTTTTTTTTATATGTTAAAAGTGACAAGTAAAAGTGATTTTTGTTTTAAAATAGTGGACAAATAAAAATGAATGGAAGGAGTATATATTAAACATATTTTTATTTAAGCATAATACATAAATATGCCCTTTAATTTGGTCTTAGCTCACATGCCCTCCAACTTTAGGCGTGCACAAGCAGACATTTAAACTTGTATAAAGTTGAACAAATTGACACACACGTCCTGTGTGGCATCCTACATGACAATTTTCATCCTACATGGTGTCCTATGTGTATTATGTCACTTAGGACTCACGTATCTACTTGCTCAATTTTATACCAATTAAAGTGTCATATGCATACCCAAAGATGGAGGGTATAAATTTGAAACAAAACCAAATTAAAGGATTTATTTAGTATTATGCCTTTTATTTACTTAAAAACTAATCATGTTTTCAACAAAAATATTCAGTCTTGATCGTTGAGAAAATGATTACAAAGTTTTAAAAACAAATGAAGTTTTTGAAATTTGTGATACTAAATATATAAAAAGACGATATATTTTTTAAACAGGCAAAAAAAAAGAAAGACGATATATTTTTTAAACAGACAAAAAGAGAATTGAGATTAAGGAAGTGTAACTCTTCTAATTGAGCAATAAAAGAAGACAACCCTCATAACCTAACTTTGTCCTTTTGTTTTATTTATTTAATTGCTTGAAATTATACCCAAATATTGCAGGTTACACAACTCAAATGTGGAGGAATAATTTTGGGTTGCACATTTGATCATAGAGTTGCTGATGCATACTCAGCCAACTTGTTTCTTGTGTCATGGTCTGAATTAGCTCAATGCAAGCCACTCTCTCAGCTCCCATCGTTTCGACGATCGTCCCTTTTTCCTCGACATCCTGGTTGCTACGATGACTCGATCGATGACTTATATGTACCAATATCAACCCTACCTCCCACGAAACCCGAAATCCTTAACCCTAATGATCAAATCATTAGTAGAATTTACTATGTCACTGGTGACAAAATTGAGCACCTTCAATCACTAGCCAATTGTCATGATCAAAAAGGCATGAAGTCCCAAAGGTCTAAACTTGAATCATTCAGTGCTTTTCTGTGGAAAACTATTGCATGTGGAATTGATAGAGAAACGTCGGGTTTCAACAATTTTAGGTTTGGTATTGTGGTCGATGGTCGAACTAGATTGATAAGTACTAATGTAGATGATAATAATCAAGATAAGTCGCTAAAAGATTATTTTGGTAATGTTCTCTCCATCCCATTTGGAGAGAGAAAAGTTGAGGATCTAAAAGAGAAGTCGTTGAATTGGGTGGCAAATGTAGTCCATGAATTTCTTGATATCGCGAACACACAAGACCATTTTCTTGGATTGATAGATTGGGTTGAGGCGCATCGCCATGAACCATCCATGGCAAAAATATATGCCATGAATGGTGATGGGCCCGCGGTGGTAGTGTCATCAGGGCAACATTTTCCTGTGAAAAAGATTAATTTCGGATGGGGTCAGCCAGCCTTCTGGTCGTATCATTTTCCGTGGGCCGGAAAAGCGGGATATGTGATGCCAATGCCAAGCCCTAAAGGAAATGGAGATTGGATTGTGTATATGCATCTCTTGAAATGGCAAATGGAACTTATTGAGGCTTCTCCATTCCACGTGTTCGAACCCGTAACTGCAAATTATCTCAACTTGATTTGACTATAGTTCGTCTTTAGTTGTTGGGTCACATCCATCTATCCTATTTAAGTAGTTATAACTTCATTTTCTTGTTCTCTTCGTCATGTAATTGTGGTTTGATTTGAAATTTAAAAACAAAAAACCTTCATGCATAATTGACTACATACAAGTAGGATGGAGCTATAGTTCTGCTTACTGTTCGATAATATCATTAATTTTAACTAAAACCGTGTATTGTATTTTTTTTAAATCTATATAATACATATAAATAATTTATTGATAACTCATTCTTCCAGCTACTTTTTCTCTAATTAAATATAAATTCAAAAATCCTAATTCTACCTGGGGAAAGTAAATTAAAACAGGGTCAACTTGAAGTCAATATTGTTTAATAGTCTTAGATTATTATTTCTCATATTAAAAAGGAGGTTAACTTCTACAACTTGCCGTTATTAAAATTGTTTTACCTCGTCAAGTTAAATCGACCTACACTAAGAAACTTAGAAAGTCTCCAGATATAATAACTTGAAAATAATTAATTATTAGTAATTATACTATATCTGGTTATAGGGGCGCGGAGAGAGGTAGAGATAGGTTAAAAAAGTATTGATCAGGAGATGTGATTAGATAGGACATGGTGTAATTTTATATTATCAAGAACATAATTTTAGATAGGAAGGAGTAGATGTCGTGTATTAGGGTAGAAGGTTACATTAATTAGTTGTCTTATCTTGCAAAGGTATAGGCTTATTAGTGCATGTCGTAGTACTAGTTGTACCCTTATAGTTCTTGTCATATGTTGTTTATCGTATTTCGCAGGGGTGGAGCTACCTCTGTCCGAGGAGTGTCAAGAGACGCCCCTTTTCCGAAAAATTTCATCGTATACAGAGGTCAAATTTTGGTTATATATATATATATATATTTGCAATGGGGAGGTGCGAGGTGGGTTGAGCTTAACCCGTAAATTTTTTAACATGCCCCGCTCCGCCCACATAACAATCTGTTTCATTTCAACCCGCTTCACTCCACCCCGCATAGACCCGCCCCGGCGCCCCCACATGATTTTTTTCAATTTTTTTCTTTTAATTAAGTTTGATACTAAAAATAAAATTTTAAAAAATAAATTCATTTTCTCATTAAATTGTATTTTTAATAGATAATGACTTAAAATTTAATGTCTGAGAGGTCAATTATATTGGAAAGCATATAAGAAACCGTCTTAATTTTAATTGTACCATTTTCATTTACATTCTTGGCTATTTTAACAACTTTGAGCAATAGCAATGGCCATTACGAAATGATCACACAATTTTTGTCAGAAAGTAAAATAAAATCAAATTCATAAAACTCAATATTTCAAAACTCTTTTTAAATTAGAAAGCATTGATTCCATTTTTTTAATATAATAAAAGACAAGAAATCGATCAGTATTACTCTTATTTGAAAATGCCTTTTTAGAAATTGATCCAACTATTAACACTGAAATATGTTATCATATAAATATAAATTTAAAGAAACTTTCAATTAATATTAGTTTAAATTTTTTTAATGTATTTGTCATGAGATTTGTGTATTTTTATTCGTAAAAAATATTATACCACTCTTATAATATATGATAAGTAAGCAATAAAATAATATCACAAAACTATTTATGTATAGCAAAACACTATTAGACAAGGAACGGGGGTTCAGGGTGGCAGGGTGGATGAATAAAGAGGAGACAACGAACTTGGAGTGTTTACTTATGAAACTTATTTTTTTCTATTTTTATAATGAAAGTAATTTTCTTATTCTTAAATAAATTTGTTATTTTAGAAAAAGTATTTTTCAAAATATATTTGATTAAAATCTTCCTTAGTATTAAACACACCCAAGGGTTCTAAAGAATAGTTTTATACAATTTCTAGAGTTTAATTAGCAAAACCACTTCCATCTTTATAATAATTTCAGATAAATAAAATTGTTATATGATGCATGAAGAGCGATAGATATATATATATTTTATAAAAATATGTCACTATAAGAAGAAAATACTTGTGAATTTCATTATTAAATTTGTTGACTAAATGCTTTAATTAACAAATATAAAGATCCATTGAAGCCATTGGTTGTAGTGGATTCCATTAAAGAAATTAATTGGGTAAAAACTTATCTTTAATTTGTTTGGAATCTAAATCTATATAGATAATATAATAAGTAAAACTAATGTGATTTCCTTAAATTATTATTATACATTTACAAAAACAATTTCATAATTTTGACTTTTCAAAAAATGGGACTCCAATAAAGCTATATGTCATTTCATTTTTCCATTTTGGAAATATATTTCTTTTTCATTAGTCGGTATATTTCTCAATCGTTTAGATGGAAATGTTGGTCCCATGAAGAAAACAAGAAGAGAAGAACATTTATAGGGGAAAAAACAACCAAAAAAGGATTTTTAATTGCATAGATCATCGTTGATATTAATGGGTTGATGATTATTTGCCAAATGATACTTCGTCCATTCATTTTTATTTGTCACTATTTGACTTGGCACACTTATTAAGAAAATAATTACTGATATAAGTATTTTATCACATTGATCCCCTATTAATTGATATGTAGTACTCATTAATAGTATTTAATGATAAGGGTAAAACATGGAAAATGATAATTATATTTTTTTGATATGTCAAAAGTGACAAGTAAAAATAAAAACCAATTTTAGAAATAAGTAACAAGTAAAAGTGAACGGAAGAAGTATTAAATTTGTTGTATCTAGCTATATTTGTGATTAATATCACTATATCGTTATGTTGCTATTATTTTTACTGAAACTTTTATGTACTGACGATATATATAGATAGATAGATGGAAATGACAAGTGCATGTAATGCTCTATACAAATATTTTGTTGCTAATGGTAAGAAAATAAATAAAAAAAATATATATATATATATTCTAAATCCTTATTTAACTTACCAATTTTATGATATTTGTGTTAAGATAATTAACAGCATAGACATGTAATATCAAAAGTTCCTTTATCCACCCCTATTAATTGAAAGAATATTTTAAGTTTTTTAAATTAGGAGCACCTATTTCGAATTTTAAATGGAGGACAAATAAAATTAATCCATTTTGAAACGTTCAACAGATATGTTTTCCATATTTTGAAGCAACTCTTAGTAAGAAAGATATTTTTAAACTAAAAATATAAAGAAGATGACACTTTTAAATATAAAAAATATAATGAATGATAAATTTGACCTATATCAACTAATTCATGAGATATTTTTAACTATTTTCCCTTTTATCAATATCATTGACTTGTTGGATTCTAGTTACTTGTTCAAGATTAAATCCTAACCACCTCTTGTACCAATGCATAATAATACCTTGTTCTCACCAATTCTAATTATATATATATATATATATAATACCACTCAACTATATTAAATCTTGTAGCTATTATATGAAATATTTTTATTGAATATATTGTTGTTTGTATTTATTTATATTATTAGTATACCTAAACTTGTTCTTATAATGCAATAATTATCCACTTTATTTTTCACTAATGTCATACTTCTTATGAATGGTTATTCCACCCAACATTGATTCAATATAGAATTTGTTTATAGACCAAAAAAAGTAAATAAGTTCAGAACTCATAGACTTTAGAATTTGACTTCGCGCTCCTATGAACTTAATTACTATTAATATAGACTTTTTCTATGATTGGATATATACTTGTAATTTCAGAACTTTTTCTATTATATAAGTTCAGAACTCATAGACTTCTTACACTATAAATACAACTACCCCCTCCTCCTACACCCCCCCCCCCCCCCCACAACTCCAAACAACAAAACATGTGCAAAAAAGAGATGAATCCCAAAAAAGACTTCAATGTGAAAGTGAACAAGAGTGAAGTAGTAGCAGCAGTGTTGCCAATGCAAGAACATTGGCTACCATTATCTAATCTTGATTTACTCTTACCTCCATTGGAGGTCAGAGTAATGTTCTGCTATCTAAATCCCATTATAGTTTCGGAGAAAATTAATATAAATTTTGAATTTAACTCAATCGTGAAAATACTCAAAACATCTTTGGCTGAAACATTAGTTTCTTACTATGCATTTTCTGGAGAAATAGTTGAAAATTCAGCGGGAGAACCGGAGCTTCTTTGCAATAATGGTGGTGTTTCTTTTATTGAAGCTTTTGGTGATGTTGAGCTTAAAGAGATTAATTTTTGATCATTGAGGTGCGTGACTAGTGTGATTTTAAAACTCCCTTGACAAGCGTAAGGGTAGATGTACAATTCGGGTTATGGATTTGACATAACTAAGTGATCAATTTGATTTAAATCTTGCATTTATCTTGAAAATTTTATTTAATATGTATAAATTATTAAGTTATTAGAATCTAGCAACTTAAAAGTATTAAAATCTTACATTTATAAACTTCAAATCATGAACATGGAAATCTGATTCTTTTCAAGAGCCAAACATGCAAAAAATATTCTTTTTGATAATGAGTGACGATAAGACTCGAACTCATATAGTACCCTTGTCTACTTTAATACCATCTTAAAGTGTGTGACTATCTTCATCATCAAATAACATAAGCTAAGTTGTAACTCCTTCCGTTCACTTTTACTTGTCCAACTTGGACTTTACATACCCTAAGAAACAATAATCGACATTAATCAATATCAATTGATGCTTAATTTTCGATCTTACGAAATGTTTTGGACATTATTAAGTAATAATTGCTCAGAGTAAAATTGGAAGAAAAAAAATGACGAGTAAAATGAATTTTCTTTTTGAAATAGTGGACAAGTAAAATGAACGAAAGAATAGATTAAACATATTTTTATTTACTTAACTTATTATGTTTTCAACAAAAATGTTTAAAAAACAAAATGAAGTTTGTCATATTGAATATATAAAAAGACAATATATTTTTAAAACAGAATAAAAAGAAACATATTACACGTAAATTGAGATTAAGGTAGTGTTACTCTTTTAAGCAAT